ACCTATTGCCCTTTTTGCTTGTTTAATATTACTGGAAAGATTGCTGTGTGCAGCTTCCCTGACAGCTAAATATTGTACTTTCCCATTTTCCACTGTGAGTTGAATTCCAGCCAATTTCCTTTCACTTGTTTTGTAGCCCTGCACTTTGCTTTCCTAAGGTCCAGTCCTTTTATGTTCCTGCCCTTCCCACAGATACTCATCAACATTCCAAACCTAACATTAGGGTCTGGGGGTACCTGGGGCCTGAGCCAAAACACATTAAAATCAATGGAAAGGCTCCCATTGGTTCCAGTGGGCTTTACATAAGGACCTAGATTATTTACATTTTTTTTTGTTTGATCGTATCTAACTCAGTGCCAGTTATTAAACCCAGATTAATCCCTGACCTGGCTGACGGTGTAGTATAAGGAAGCAAACCTGTACTACCTCCATGAATGTGTCCTCCTTAGAGTTCCCACTATTGTTTTCCTAGTTGGTGGGCCAAACTCTGCCCTCCAAGCCAGTGTAAATCTGGAGTACTCCACTACAGGCAATGCACTGTCTCCAGATTTTATATGGGGGTAACTGAGAACAGGATATGGCCCAGTATCTGGTAGCTGAAATCCCCCATGACCACTGAACAGCCTTTTCAAAAGCCTCCTTTATCTCTACAAATATTTTCTAGTCTCTACTACATAATTCTGTCCAGGCACCATCCAAGCTTCCCTTTTACTGCAGTGTTATCCTTTAGCCCGATGCAAGTAGACTCTGCTATGTCAGCCAGAACACTAATATTTCTTTCTGTTGACACAATACTCTCTTATCCATATTGCTTCCCCTCCTCCTGCTTCATTTTGCCTAGATTCTTTCTGAAAACTCTATACCCATAATTTAGTCTGCCACTCGGTACTTGGTTTAATTAAGTCTGTCACCCAATTTATACAGCACTTCTTTCTTAATGCAAGCTTCAAAATCAGGAATCTGGTATCTGCTCGGGCAGTGTAGAACACACGTTCAGCTTTTCATTCCACATTTGCTGCCTCCTTTTGTTGTCTCTACTCCCCACTTTTTCTTGTAGCATTTGTGGATACCAAACATCCTCCTTTGTACCTCTCCCCTCGCTATTGTTCATCACCTAGTTTTGTGGGATCAGCACAGCACTCGGTCACTGATTCCCTATTAACTAGATGAGCTTGATCCAAAGCCCGTTGGAGTCTATGGAAAAGTTCCCATTGACTTCACTGCAGGCCTTGGATCAGGCCCAGCAATGCTCATATAATTAAAAGAAAATGACATTTCCCCTCCCTTGTTTAAAGACATGATCAGTTGTGTGTGATCCCTGGAGTCTGGTATCTTTTTTCTGTCCCCTTCAAACTACCCTTGGTCATTACAGAAGGTTTGTTGGTTTCTAGTATGTCCTTTGCTGTCAATGGTTGTCCCTTTCTTTATTGAACGGTTGCTATGTATGGGGTTTTTCATCTCTGGATATTGCCTAGGAAGTGAAGTTCAGCCTGGTTGCTGGTGCATGTGTCCCAGTGTTGGTCTTAGCGAACCTGGCAGGCACTTAGCTGACCAGGAGGTGAAAGAGGCAGGTTAGCAGTCTCTTCGCACTCTCATTGATACTCTCATCCTTTCCTTCCAAACTCCTCCTTTCGATAGGTAGGGTCAGAGACAGGGTTTAAAATGGACTCTAACATAGTGGTAGGTCATGATCTGATAATGGATTTTCAACAAAATCTAGACTGGCAGTTCTCTGGGGCAAGGACTGTCTCTGTGTTTGTTGGTACAGTGCCTAATACAAAGGGATGCTAATACCTCTCTGGGGTCCTCACATGCTACTGCAATAGAAATAATGACATTCTTTAGAACAACACCATTTTCTAACTTGAAGGGAGAGCTTTCTGGCTTTTTAAAAAACTTTTTCATTCTTTATATTTATTTCCATCTCTCCGCCCCCACCCACCCCCTTTTTTTTGTTGCTCTATATCTCTTGTTCTTTTTCCCTTTTTGGTTATCCTTTCCTCTCTCCCTCTTCTGTCTGTATCCTCCTTCCCCTGGATCCCCATCTCACTTGATCTCTCTTCCCTGCTTGTTCTATCTCTGAACCCAGGCCGGACCCCACCTCTGTTTAGTATTTATTTTGGCTGCATCTGTGACTTAGCACAACCTGGCCCACTTTAAGTTCATAAGGTGCTAAGAATTAGGAGTCTTTCTCCATCTCTGTCTCTTTTCCCATCTCTCTACCTTTCCTTCACAGTAAGGAAAAAAGAAGCAAGCAGCCTTACTTTGATGTTGGACCCCTCCATCCCTGCACGCTGCTAACCGTCGTGCTGCCCCTCTCCCCAGATCCCACCTGCATTGTTTGGATCTCCTTTGTACGTTGTTGGGCTCCCACGCTCAGATTTGCTGGCTTAATACATGGTTTGGGGTGTTTTTTCTGCTGCTGTATCCATTTGTGGTGGTTTGTGCCCCTTTTTCCTAAATCCTCTTTCTTCTTCCTGCAGGACCCCAGGACCAACACACAAGCCCAAATTTTCTCCTCCTGGCCATTCTTGCAGTACAAAGTGGTATGACCAGGCCATAAGTGTCTATCCTAAAATTTGCTTGATGTACAGGAGCTACAAAGTGGCATAACCGTCTCCTCTGCCAACTGCCTCCAAATGCTCTGATGCGGGGACAGGGTCAAGTGTGCCTGTACTACAGCAATTCACAACTGGCATTAGGTCCCATCTAAATTCATACAAGAGACCCGAGCTAGCTGACATAAGTTAAAGCAGCCCCTGAGTTGCTCCAACTTATGTCAAGTGCTGGGTTCAGCATAATTGCCCTACGGGAATCAAGTGCTTCTTGCTGGCCCACCTCTTCTGTTCTGAGTGTATATGATGAACTTTAGGCCACAGAAACCCATTACCGGGTGTGCATCTGCTTGATCCATAGGTGCTGGAACTAGGGGTGTTGCTGCACCCCCTGGCTTGAAGTGGTTTCCATCATATACAGGGTCTACCAGTGGTGGATGAATGAGGCCATAACAGCAACTTCCATTCAACACTAACGGACCTGCTACTAGGCAGTCTCAGTTAGGGGCACTGGCTGGTAAGATAATTTGTGGGTCTCTAAATGATTGTTTTGTCAGCAGGTTTCCAGCACGGTCAGCATGGGCACAATAGGAGGTGTGGCATGCTGTGGTTTCTGACTCACCTTTCCGCTGTGTTGTTTTTTTGTAACATTGTTGTATTGTCCTATTTTTGCTGCCTGTTTTCCACATTTGCCCTTGCTCTATTTCAATCATTTATGTGGCCTATGCTTCGAAGGCTCAGACAGACTGTATAAGCCCCATACAGACAGACAACTGTTCACTGATGTTTTCCGTTCTTGTTACTTTGCTGAATGATAGAAGAGGGCTTCCTTGCTGGTCCTTTCACATACAGTAATAATACCTAGCACTTCTATAGTGCTTTCAATCTTCAAATCAGTTTAATACTAATGCTTGATACTGCTTGGGTGAGTTGGTCTCCCTGTGTCTGTAACATGCTCCTTTTCCTGGCTCTTTGGAGAGGCTAAAGAACATTTGCCCTCTTCAGCTAGCCCTGCCACTGCCCCAAAACACAATTTCCAAACTAGACTCGGTTTGTCATAAATCAAAGAATAATTTACTGGCAATCACTCAGAGAATCCTTAAACAGGAGAGTTGAAAATAAACTTGCCTATAAAGTTGCTATGGAAAGCATCTCCTGAATGGCACAAACTGCAGAGACAGAATGGAGTCTGGTTTACTTTCCTGGAGAGCGCAAGGCTGGTGCTTTGGTGGGTACCAAGTGGGACCAAGGCGTGTATGTGTGTGTGTGTGTGTGTACCAAGTGGGACCAAGGCGTGTGTGTGTGTGTGTGAGAGAGAGAGAGAACATGCAGGGTAAGGCTCCATCAGTTTTAAGGCATTGCATGTGTTACTATTCTGCCATTTCACCAGCTGGTTATTTTCCTCAGTTTAGATTTCTGCATGTAACCAACAAGACAAAGCACCCTCTGGCGAACGTTTTTTTCCCTCTCTCCAGCATGTGTCTATGAATGCTGGGGTAGCTGCTCAGGATGTACCTATTTTCCAGTTCACATCAGCACTGCCAGTTTCTCTTATCAGAGTGTAGTTCCTTCTCCTTGGTGGCAATGTAAAGGTGCAGCCCCCCTTTTTAGGTGCATGTTCTCCACCTCGCAGGGCATGCAAGGGGTTAGCCCCAATTCACAGGAGATCGGTCAGCCTGCAGTTACCACCTTCTATGTGCACGCAAGGGTTAAGGGTTAGTTTGCTCCCTCTTAACTCCCCCCTCCTCCCCCGCGATTGGCCCATGGAGAGGGGAAGGGAGAGACTGCAGTTTTCCTCCTCCCCTCTTCGTATGGTGGGGTCAGACTGCACTAGTTCCTTCTCTTGGTGCACGTAAGGGTTAATCTCCTGTAGCCTTATTTATCCGCCCGGGGCTCTCAGCTCGCCCTAGTGCACGCTCCCCGCGCAGCGATCTCAGGCTGCAGCCCTCCCCTTTTCGGTGCATGCAGGAAGTTTATCGGGCCGCACTTCTACCCGCCCCTGTGCCTAGGAGCAACAAGGGGTCAGACCCGGCCCCGGCCAGGCTGCGGGGAGCTCTCGGGCTGGTTTCCTCCTCGCTACCACTCCCTCCCTTATGTCTCCCCGCCCCCCAGTAGCCGCCCCACCCACGCTCGTGGGACTCTTGCTGCGTTGGGGGTGCTCTGACTGTGAGTCTGGGGCGCACGCGAGGGGCTCCCGCGCCCCGGTTACTCCGCTGCGTCTCCTCCTGCTCCGTGCTGGGGGGCGGTCTGGCTGTAGCCCCGCGCAGACAAGCAAGGGGGGGCTCTCCAGCTGCAGCCTGCACGGGGCTCGGCGGCTCGCGTGCGCCCCCGGGCCCAGCACCGCCCCGCTTGCCCCGAGCGCCAGGGCGCGGCCCCACCCTGGGGCCGGGCGGAGGCAGGGGGCGGGCGGGGGGTGTCTCCCAGTAAGATCTCGCGGTGCTGGCGGGGCTCAGCCTCCTTCTCCTCCCTGGCGAGCGGTGACTGTGCAGGGCGGCGCGGGGAGCCAGGCAGCAGCCGGAGGAGGCTGCCCCGAGGACAGCGCGATCCGCCCGCGCCGGCCGGCCGGCAGCAGCCCGCGCCTCGCCCAGCCCCATGCCCGAGTGGCGCTGAGCCGAGCCCAGCCCAGCATGGCCACCACCGCCCCGTGCACCCGCTTCACCGACGACTACCAGCTCTACGAGGAGCTCGGCAAGTACGGAGCCCGCCCGGCCCTGCGCCCCGGGGACCTCCGGCTGCGTCCCACCCCCAGCCCAGGAGCCCCCGCCCGCCTGCCTCTTCCCCCACCCCCCTGCCCTGCCCCGGCGCCGCTGCGGCACCCTGGCTGTCCCGCTCCACCTTCCTGTGCCGGACTGGGTGCTGCGAGCTCCCGGGCTCCTCCCGTTGCCCTGGCCCTGGGACCGGCAACTGGCGTCCGCTACACCCGAGGATCCTGCCACCGCCGCCCCTACAGTGGGACCGGGAGGGGTCTGCTGCACTCTAGGGCCTCCCGCGTTCCCTTCGTCCCTGTTCTGCATGGGGAATGGGTGCTACTGCCCCCCGGGTTACTCCCATCTCAACCCCAGGTGTAGTTACAAGCCAGGGTGCCCCCCATCCCTGCACCATGTGAGGCTGTGTACCCCAGGACTTACTTCCCATCTCCTAGCTCTGCTCTTGAACTGCTTGGGGCTGCTGCACCCTGCTCCCCCAAACCATCCTGGTGATAGCCATAATCCGGGACACTCACCCAAGCTGTCCCTGCTATCGCTCCAGCTTCCTCCTGAGATACTCCCCTAGTCCTGCAAGAAGGACCAGGTTCTGCGGCTGTATAGGGGATCTCCCCTCCCCAGTATTGGGATCAGGCACTGCTGCACGCAACTCTCCCCCCCCCTCCCCCACACACTTAGACCTGCAGTGGGATCCTGTGGGGATGTGGAGGAGATGCAGCAGTATACAGGATGGGATCATTGGGTGTTGATGCATCCCTGAGTACTGCTGCATCTTTCCCCCTCCTTCCCTGCACCAATCTCTGGGCACTGCTGCATCTCTTTACCCCATCCCCACATGGATTCCTAGGCTGCTGCTGCAGCCTGTGTCTCAGCACCCAACCCTGGGCCAAGGAATGGTGCTTGCAGTGTTTCTGGTTGGTTTATGTGGAGAGGTTGGGGGTGGGAGCAGAAGTTGAGGAGGGGTCAGGACTCTGGAGTGTAAGGAGGGGCCCAGCTGCCTAGAGCCAGATCCTCTCTGATGGATTAAGTTTTCCATGGGGCTGCTGTGGGTTGTCTGTTCTGTTTTGTTTTCAGTTCCACTGTACAGACTTCTCTGGGGACTGGTGGGACCTAGTTCCCCACTCAGAGGCTTGGATACCTCACTGTCAACTTCCCCTTATTCACACTTCTGACCTCCCTGAGTTTTTCTTCCGTCAAGCCCGTTCTCTTGTCTCTCTCCCCACCATTTTTTCTGTTGGGACCACTTTCCAGGTTTTTTCTCTCCCCACAACCTCTTAGGGCTTGGGCTGTCTTTCCTTACACCTTTTTTTCTTACGCTATCTCCCTTTTCTTCTAAGAATCCTTCCCCTTTCTGTTCTGCCACTTAGTGCACTTCTCCCTACAGCCCGTCGCAGCAATAATAATTCATATTTATAAAATGTTAACTTACAAACAACAGTTAGCCTGCCAGTCCCCCTGCACCTCTGGGAAGAGGAATTTATCTCTAGTTCACAGATAAGGAAATGGGTGTAGCAGAGCTAGTGGCTCATCCAAAGTGCTGCGGTGATTCAGTGGCCCAGCTGGGACAAGAACCCAGGAGAACTGATTCCTAGTTGTCTTCTCCAGCCACTAGACCATTATGGGATGGACTTCTTGGCGATGTTTCCAACCTTATGGGCTACTCCTCTTTCACTCTTCAGCTCCTGTATGTTATGTCTCTGCACCCTTCTCCCCTCCCCACCATGGTGTACTGTTTGTGCTTTCCTGCTTAAGGCCCCTAGGAGGCCTCAGCCAGGCATTTGGGTATACACTTTTCCTCTGGCGTTATTTGCTGACTTGACATGTCTAGGTTGGGGGTGGTAGTCGTTCCAGTTGCATTATTATTTTCAATTTCACAGCCCCCGCTATCTTTCTTCTAGGGGAGCCTTTTCTGTGGTCCGCCGATGTGTGAAGAAAAGTTCATCCCAGGAATATGCTGCAAAAATCATCAACACCAAAAAGCTGTCAGCCAGAGGTTAGTATCCAGATCTGTCCTTCATCCCATTGCCTTTCTCTATGAACAGGAGAAACATGATTGGAACTTTAGTTGCAGCAAGATTATGGGCTTTGTAGGTGCTTGTCTTGTAGTTTTAAGTAATAAGTAGTGATGCAAATGGTAGACTGAAGAAGTGTTGCAAGGATCTCAACTTCTGGGAGTACTTCCTGTTATCTTTTCTCTTTTTGAGGACCTACTATGTCCTCAGTGTGCCAGCATTGCTGGAGGTCTTCTGTGCTTTGGGGTATAGTCTTGTTGGATAAAGGATCTTTTTAGTTTCAGGATGTCGTCATAGATGGTGTATTCCTCTTGTAGCTAATCCTATGTCTAATATGCTCATATTTGAACTGGATGGAAGGGTTCTCTAAAGCTTCTAAAAGAACCAAATTAAATTTCTGTTGTTCTCCGCAGCCACCTAACTCCGAAAGCCTCTCTTCAAAACCTGTACGTGTCAACTGAGCTCAGAATAGTGGTACAGAAAGGAACAGAGAATCTGTCATCCCAAATTTATTTGCTGAACTTTTCTTGTGATTTGTCCTGGTTCATTTCACAAGGAAGGCTCTGTATGTATGAAGAGTGAGGTGGCTTCCACTGTGGAGGGACATGGGCAGGAGCTGAAATCGATTGGAAAAAATACTGAATTGGATTGCAGTAGGAGGAACTATAAAGAGAGATGTAACTGGCTGAGATCTCCAAGGGAATGAATGTGGAAGAGGAGGCTAAGAGAAGACTTAATGCACTTAGGCCATTCAGTTTTGACAAAAGTGACAAATACTATGTCCCTGATGAGCTAGATGATCAGCCGGAGGCTGAGAACCAGGTAGTATATTGACCAGCAACTGAAAGGGTGGCACCAAAGAGGCGATGAACATAGCTCAGGCTGTCTGATTCCTAAAAAAGAGAAAAGGACGATACACTATCTCCCCAGTGCCAGCGCGTGAAATGTGATGACAAGAGCAAAGTATAGCCTGCAGAGAGGCAGTGAATGTTCACCTAGTGTAGTTCATGTAAAAGCTAATGACAGGCACAAAGGGAGAATCTGTGGATCAAGAATGATTTTAGAACCCTGGGAAGAGTGCTGCAGACCGAAGTCAACATTGGTGATGTTTTGTCTTTCTAGTAACTAGTGCAAGTAAAGTCAAGAGTGATACTGGAGACCAGCTGATGGATCTGTGGATGGCCTAGAAAGGGGAAGGCTGTCGATGTACAGAACGGATGCCAATGCTCTGTGAAATCTCCACTGAAGCACATGGGATCCCAGTTCTGTGGGTTCAAAACTGGCAGGGCTAGTTACGCAGACTTTAAACTGACTAAGAAATGGGTAATTGGGAGCGTTTGCTTAATGAAAGGAGAATATGATGTAGTGGACATAACTGAAACCAAATAATGCAGAGAACCATCTCGTCAGCATTAGTGGGTATAATCCTCTTTGTATGCGGGACAGGGTAATACTCTAAATTAACAAAACCAGCAAGAAACAATTTTCCCATTAACAGAATGGTAGCGAAATAATCTGGTAAGGTTGCAAGAAGTGACAAAGCTGTAGGGCTAGAGGAAAATGAGAACAAAAAATTCCTAAAACAGTTACCGTGGAGTCCAAAATCTCCAGATAATGTGGTCATGTAGGATTTCAAGTACTCAGACAGCTGTTGAGTTACAAATACAAAAAGTGTGGAACATCATCACTTCTCAGATTAACTAAAGGTTAAATAAATGAGCCAGGAAGTAGGGAATCCAGCTAGAGGAGAAATCCTCCTTGATCTACTTCTTACCACTAGGAAGTCCTTGATTGAAAACATAAGTGGTGTTGGACGCTTCTGTGCTAGTGATTTGTGAGCTCTGTTAATTCAAGGTATTGATGAATAGGTTCATAGAACACAGCTGTCCAAAGGTATCTGATTTGGAGAGAGCAAATGTGGGGGGAATTATGAAACTGGCTGAAAGAGAGAAATATTGGGAGGAAGAAGTTGTGGCTGATCAGGCTTCTTGAGGTCCCACTGAAATATCTGATGGCCACAAGGAACTTGTATTGGAAACGAAGTGGGGAAAGACAAGGCAACAAAGAATTAATGATAGTCAAAAGGGTTGGTGGGAATAGAGGCTCAGATACGGTGGGACTGGGCGCCATGTAAGAACCTAGATGGATAAACACTGTAAAGGCTCTTCAAACTAGAAATGTTAGAGAGATGTTAGGGCTGTTAGCCAATGATAAGGGAGATGAAATCAACAACTGTAAAACGGCGGAGCTGATGAGCAGTTCTTTTTAAAAAGCTGTCTGTTATGGCAGCAGGACCGTGAGTGAATTCTGCAATAGCCTGGGTGTACCTTGCCTGCTGCTTCCCATTCCCATGTTAGTTCTTGCCTCATTGGGAGCACACACCCATATAGCTTCTGCATATATTGGGGTATCCCCCCATTGCCCCACTCCCAGTACCCTCCTCAGACTTCTGTAAGGCGTTTGACTTGGTCCCACTCAACACTTTAATTAAAAAAAACTCTAATGATATGAAATTAACACGGTACATGTTAAATAAATTAAAAACTGGATAATTGATAGGTTTCTAAACGTAATTGTAAATGGGGAATCCTTATTGAGTGGGTGTGTTTTTCAAGTGGGGTCTTGCAGGGATCTGTTCTTGGCTATATGCTGTTTAACATTTTTTATCAGTCATGCGGAAGAAAACCTAACATCCCTGATGAAGTTTGCAGACAACACAAAGATTAGAAGAGTGGTAAATAATGAAGAGGACGGGGTCACCGATACAGAGTGATCTGGATTGCTTGGAAAGCTGGGTGCAAGCAAACAATGTTCGTTTTAATATGGTTAAAAGCAAATGTCTAAATCTAGGACCAAAGAATGCAGTCCATGCTTATAAAATGGTGGAAGCAGTGACTCTGAAAAAGATTTGGGGGTCATGGTGGATAATCCCAGTGTGATGCTGTGCCCAAAAAAGGGGGTTCTCAAAGTGGGTTGCAAGGTGTCAGCCCAGCCAGGACTGGGGCTGACAGCCCGAGTCCCTGTTAAATTAAATTAACACCCTTCTCCCCCCCCCCCACCCGTTTTTAATTGAAAAGGGTGGTCGCACACAGAGGCTTGCTGTTTGAAAAGAGTCACCAATACAAAAAGTTTGAGAACAACTGAGAGCTAATGTAATCCTCTGATGCGGAAATGGGGATCTTGAGCAGGAGCAGAGAGGTTATTGTAGCTCTGTATTCGGCACTGGTGGGATCGCTGCTGGAATAGAGTGTCAAGTTCTGGTGCCCACAATTCCAGGGCATTGATAAATTGGAGAGTATTCAGAAAAGAGCCACAAGCGTGATTTAAGGATTGGAAAACTTGCTTTATAGTAATAGAGACGGACCCAAGGCGCTCAAGCTATTTAGCTTAACAAAGAGAAAGTTAAAAGGTGATTTGATTACAATCTAAAAGTACCTACATGGGGAACAAATATTTGACAGTGGGCTTTTCCGTCTAGCAGAGAAAGTGTAACACGATCCAGTGGCTGGAAATGTAAGCTAGGCAAATTCAGCCTGGAAATAAGGTACACATTTTTAACAGTGAGGATAATTAACTATTGGCACAATTTACCAAGGGGCGTGGTGGATTCTCCATCACTGACAATTTTAAAATCCAGCTTGGATGTTTTTCTAAAAGATCTGCTCCAGGAATGGTCCCTTGCTGGCCTTGGAATCTAGACATTAGCATAGCTCCTGCCTTCCACACAGGTCAGTCCAAACCTCCTGACCTGCCTCTTGCACTGGAGGAGGGTCCCCCTTGCCTTGGCTTCTACATTTCAGAGCTCTCATATGCAGGGGAACCACACACCCCTGACCCCGAATAGCATTGCTAAATTGAACATTTAAAATCTGCTCCTAGCAGGATTTGAACCTGTGTTTACCCAGGGTACTTACTACTGCTTCAATGAGAGGTGCCACACCACTGGCTAGGAATATAACTCATGCTCCCTTCACAGGGGTTGACCTGCAAGTATGCTTCCCATGAGTACAATCATAGACTATTAGGGTTGGAAGAGACCTCAGGAGGTCATCTAGTCCAATCCCCTACTCAAAGCAGGACCAACACCAACTAAATCATCCCAGCCAGGGCTTTGTAAAGCTGGACCTTAAAAACCTCTAAGGATGGAGATTCCACCACCTTCCTAAGTAACCCATTCCAGTCCTCACCTTCTAGTGAAATAGTGTTTCCTAATATCGAACCTAGACCTCCCTCACTGCAACTTGAGACCGTTGCTTCTTGTTCTGTCATCTGCCACCACTGAGAACAGCCGAGCTCCATCCCAGGGCTTACTAAGGGCAAGGAGCTCTGACCTGCTTCCATGCTGGCTTTATGGGAAGAGGTACTTCCAAAGGAGTCTTCCTCAAGAAAAGCAAAGCAGTGGGGTGTGACTGACTTGGAAGTGATGGAGATCATGATGTGTAGCTGAAAAGCAGGGAAGGGAATGCTTAGGGAAAATTAAATGTAATATGAGAGAAATCATTGAATCCTAAAGCCTCTGTTAATGAGCTTAATGAACTGCAAACCGTTGTTTTTATCTTGAAAGTCACGAACTGAAGGGGAACCGGCGGGTTAGAAATAACCCTACGTGGCACCCATACAGTGTTTACCACCCTAAAAGCGTAAAAAGCAAATACTGTCCTGATTTTTTTTTTTTTTTTTTAAAGGGAAGTCCTGGCAATCACGGTCAAATAAACTCATCCCTTTATAAAATAATGGGACAAATATGAAGGGACAGATCTGTAAGCACCTCAACACAACCCTAAACCAACTTCCTGGCATTATAAAGAATAAACTTTGTCAGACAAATCTGATCTAAATACAGAGTCAGTGGACGCATTAGACATCATAGTTGGAATTCATTAAGCTACTTGGTATTTGTGTTATGGTGGAGTGTAGGAGGCAGGGCCCACTGTGCTAAGCACTGTATAGCAGAATGACAGTCCCTCCCCCACACAGCTTG